TAAATAGTATTAAAAGCAGAAGAAAAAGAGTGTCTGATGAACGCATTTTGGTTGTTAAAAATAATATTTCTTGACATCAATGAATCTCTGAAATCTTTATTTTTATTTTTGCAGAATTTCTGATTTGGCGTTCTTGATTGCCATTTTAAGAGGTCGGATAGAGCGGAGTTAATTCGGTATATGATCTACATACTGCATAAATTCGTTCTTAAAACCTTCTAACTGCATTAATCGAAAAAGTGCATAACAAAAGAGATGGGTTACATGATGCGCATTATTGAACATGCGATAAAAAAAAGTGACGTGATAAAAGAATTACTGTATTGTTAATTTCCTTGTTTGGTCATCGATTTAAAAAAAAAAAAACCACGTACTATTTATTTTGTTTTTACCTTGTTCTACTTGTAATATTGATTCATATATTGTATCGTATGAATTTTTCACATTTCTTTTGTTCATCAGGCTTAGCACTAGTGCTCCGCAAAATCAAACCAAAATTTGAATTTGAATCAAATATTTTCAAATATTTGATCAAATTTTATAAAATTTGATCAAATATCTGAAAATATTTGATTCAAATTCAAATTTTGGTTTGATTTTGTGGAGTACTACGGCATTAACATCATACGTTACGATAATAAATCTGATTTTATTAAGATGGATGTTACGTGCTATATTAAGTCTTGAATTTGCCTCCGTGTTTCCATCATAATATTTCTGCGCCATATTTAATTATTGTTGCGCTGAAGCTTGAAATCAATTACAGGTGTTTTTTTAATATCGATATGAATTTTCAAAAATAGTTAAGTTTGGGCTTAGGGTTAGTTTTTATATTTTTAAATCGATATTTCCAGCTTCAGCCTTATTTCTATCATTTTTCTTTTTAAGTATAGTAAAACACTACGCTAGTACAATTTTGAGAAATGATAGACATTCACTATATTCCTAAGAGTAGAGTAAATCGCAGATCAGTACGTAGTATAGGCCAGTGTTTAGTTTTCACGTGCCTGCGTCCGTGCGGATTCAATCAAATTGCTTTATTTCAAAAAATCAAGTAATTTAATTGGATCCGCACAGATGCTGGAACGTGAAAAATAAACACTGGCACAGGCCGATTTTACAATCTATACTATACGGATCAGGTATTGTATATAAGCGTAGCGTTAGGTTTTATAATTTTGCCGATCCGTATAGTTTATTTTTTAAAATTTGGCCTATACTATACTAATCTTCTCACCTATACTATACTGATCTGCTATAATTTCATATAATATTATGTATTTCGTCGATAAGCAAAAAAGTATATGAAAGTATATTACAGTAGAATTTATTACGTATTTTATGATTTGTTCAATGAAAAATCACCAGTTGGGTAAGATAATTCTGCGAATTTCTTGTATATTATTCTATTGAATTATTTTATTGAATTTCTTCTATGTTATTTAATTATGAATCAATTTTCCAAGTCATGAGACTTTTGAACAAATACTTCAAACTTTAAGCTATCAAGATGATAATATTAATAGTAAATTTTGATGAGTATAATAGTTATTAGAAAACTTAAAAATTGATCAAGTTTATTTTAATAATATGCAAGAAATTGTTGAAATCAAAGCTATTAACAATACAATAAATGTTATAGAAGAACATGAAGAAATTATTGAATTCATGATTCTGATTCTGATTGACATTATACAGCACAAGAAAAAAAAAAAATAGCAAGCACATTCTATTGAACTTGAAGAAAATAAACCTAATGAAGTATATTACTTATTTATTGATACTAATTAAATTATTAATGCAAAGAAAATTTTTAATCTTTTTGAAAATTTTTCTTAGCAATGATTACTATTAGATAATATATCTAATTTAACTCACACTACATTTGAAAAATATTAAACCGTTCATAGATCAGCAATTTTAAATATTGAAAGAAATTATGAAATAGATTAGTAATCATTTTGAGTCAATTTCAAATGTTAAATTTGAACAAATAACATATTAATTGATAAGATTTTACTATCTCTTCGCCATGTTCTATTTGCTGGGATTATTCTCGCCAAATTACATGTCACACTCTCTTTAAAATATGACATTCCCAATTTTTTTTTACAAAAGGTGACTAAAGGGTAATCTAAACCATTGAATTAAATTAGTTTTGTCCTACTTTATCTTAAAATTTTCTATATACAAAACTTTGATGGGAAGATTCGGAATCATGCGCACGCATGAAATCCATGGTTTTTTTTTTAACTCAGTAATGCGTTACGTTGTTAAGGAGGGAAATGATAAAAGTAACGTAACCATTTTTGTGATACAGCATCTTATCTTTTTCACGCCCTTTTTGTTTAAAATGATAGACCAAATTTAGCAAACAAATTTATGCATTTTATTTTATTTTAGAAATTGTGTTAAATTACTACTGTACGTTAATATTTAACTTCGAGGGGTTCAAAATTAAAATCAAAGGCATTCTCGAGCACCTACTTAAATAGATTCAACAAAGAATCTGGTTGGTCTGACTATCAAACTGGCAAATCAAATTCTTACAGAATTCATTGGAAATGCCGAGAATGCCCTAAAAGTAAGAAATCTTTTTTATTGAAAGAACTTTTTTTTTTATAAAACAATTTTTTATAAATTTTTGAATTCACCATTACGATACTGTATAATGATAAGTTCTAAGTCAATAAATCTAATTCATTAAAAAATCTAATTCATTAAAAAATTTATAGTACAGTTTAAATTATAAATTAATTATCTATAACGTCCGCTCTTAAAATTGTGAAACGTTGATTTGCCAAATTTGTTTGATTATCTAATGTCAATAAACGAAAAATGACTAGAAAATTCGATCGGATGTTTCAAGAATTTGAAGGCGTTTTGTATTAATCTTAATTGTTCTACTTGCAAATTCAAGAACAGCAGCAAGTATAAGAACTATTGCTTCGAAATAGCTGGAAAAAAACTGATAAATAAAACCCCGAATATATTAGTAAATCACTACAGATTTAGATGACGTACGAGAAAGGTTTGAAATTATTATCATTTTTAAAGAAAGAAGATTTGCTGATGAAGAAATTATTGATCAAAAATTATTATACGTAGAACATATACAAATTGTAAAATTTTCAATAATCATCAGGCATGGTGTCAATTGTGCGATCCTCAAAAAAGCAGCTAAAGATAGTCAAGCAGAACTAATAACATTGATACAGTATATTTATTTAGGAATTTTGACTAAAACTACATTGATGCAATTGGCCAAGGAAATAATAGTTTAGTATTCTTAGTAATCTGGCAAGACAGAATAAGAATAAAAAATAGAAGAGGATGCATTGAGAAACTGTGTAGAAGATCATACATATCACATTTAAGACTTTGCCTGTTTTGAGTACGTTTAAATTTTGAACAAAGAAAGTCTTGGTAATTATTTGGCAAATAATTTTTAAATCTTAAATAAAAAAAAAGCCACAACAACTTATATTATTTTCTGCAGGGACTACGATTTTCTGCGATGGTTAAGACCAAATTCTGCATGTGAAAAATCTGTTGTGATATATTATATATTAATTCATGTTGATTCGGAGTCAACATTTGTCATTTGTGAATCAATGAATAAGTACTAATTTTACCGATTATCCAGATTTATTATCTAACGGTAAGAATAAAAAATGAAATCGGAGTTTTTTTTATTTGTTTCTAGTTTTATTTATTTTTTGAATTTTGCTATTTATCACCGGTGTTGCTATATCTCAAAAACGTACTAAGTAAACAGGATCGGATACTCTAAGTAAAAATGTTCAGAACCCTCAAAAACCTCACGAAAACTAAAATTGGGACCTTATATTAGCTCTATATTATATTATATAAAAAAAATAATAATTCTCTAATTTCTAACCCTAACCCTAACAAATCTTAGGACGGGTGATTATCACCACTGGTGATATGTAGTAATTTTCTATTATTGATAACTTAATAATATCAAACATTACAACATACTTTCTGACATTTTTTAAATTCTGATTAAACAACCATTTTTCCAAAAAAATGGAGGATTGCATCGAAAATTTTGTGGACAACTTTTACAATGGTCTCTAAATTCTAAAAAATTATCAAAAAAAAAATAATAAAATAAAATAGATCATTCTGAAATTTTGTACATTGTGCCCAATACTACATAAATAACCTCTGCGTTCGCTTTATAAGGACGACTTTTCTCTTTTATAAGAATCACTCTCCTAACACAAAAGCTCCAATAATTGAAACAATTCGCAATGAAATTATATGGCCTTTATTATAACTTTATAACACTATATTTATTTTTGATAAACCTTATAATAATAACGAAATCACAATCATTTTTCAACTATACAGAGAGAAATTTAAATGAAACTTTCTCTCAAAATGGATCACCTCTTATAGCAGATATTAAAACTTACGATGATGGAACGATTCTTGTTCATATTGTACGATTTGATTCAACACAAACAATTGATTGTTCAAGATTTCATGGAATGAGTTTAGAACAGCAAATACATATTAGAATTATTCATTTAAATGGAACAGTTAAAGAGATCGAACCTGATTTAAAATTGCATCCAATAAATTATTGCTTATTCAATAATGCCAAATACAAATTTAACAAATTTAACAACGTAGTCGTATACTTAAAAGATACTAATTATCAAAAAAATAATGCAAGAATATTTCGTGATATAATAAATCCTATTACAATTTACCCTTTACAAAAGCAGTTCATTTTAGTAACTTATATAAAAACTACAAATTCTTCTTATCTTACATCTTTTGATGAGTGGGGAGAAATTATTGATTGGAATGGTAAAAGTCGAAGGTATAACAATATTTACATCATTTATATTTATTTTATTAAGATCGACCTACTAACACAATTGATATTCTATATATAGTTCAATACGTTTAGGTATTTGGGATAATAGTGCAATTCAGTTAAATGTAAACCAGAAACTTGGATTTCTTAGATTTGCTAATGTAAATTCACATTTGATTGGATTGAAGCAATATTCAGTGTAATTTAAACATTCTAACATTCGTTATTATTGATTATTATACTCAAATTTAATATATATTATTATAATTATATAGAGATAATTTCGGAAATTTAACACAATTAATAAATGATAGTATTAGAAGTTACACTTTTCCGTTCTTCCCGATCGCAAAAATGCCCACTGGTGATAATGGTTATGCAATAGTTGTTACCTTTACGGTTGAAAGTAATAGCGTCAATTCTTTTATCCAAAATGGCGAACTTTATTTAATCTTTATACCTTACAACAAAGCAGCAAATAATAACGGTCCAAAGCTTTTCTATAAAATAACACAACCAAATATAATTAACTCAGCTTATTGTAATATAGATCCTTTTGCTGAAGGTATCTATTGTACAGTATCCGACAATAGTTCGCACTATACACGAATTAGACTTTCTTCGTCAAAAATTTCTGGTTTACCAACTTTCACTGCAATATCTGATCTCCCTAACATAACAGGTCTGTTTCAGCAAGGTTGGGAAACAAAAGCTATGCCATTTGGTGGCTATATATTAGATGTTACAGCTCATGACGATAATGATAACAATACTTATCATTATATTTATGCTTATGATGATTTCAATACTTTAATTACTTCAAATTCATCGGGACCTTATCTTACAAATTTTCTTGGTGCAAATGCTATTATAAGGAATAATACTTTTCTACTTGCTTCACCTCATACAAATGAAAATTCTTGGTCTTTGCTTACTATTCAGTTACCTAAAGTTCGTCAAGGTTGATTATACTTATATTAATCTCGATTATAAATTATTAACTCTAGTACAAACTATCCCTTTTGAATTTAAATGTCAAAAGGGATATTATGTAAGTTTATTTGCATCACATATCTGAAAATTAATATTTATGCGGTGATAATATTTATCTATTTAGATAATGGCTATGATAATGTACTGATAAAAAAAACTGTTCCGTCAATCAATGCTACTGTCAATTCATCAACTACCGCCCTGAGCATCACCTTCAAAGATCGGCTTGTTTTGTCAACTGGCAACATCACCATTTACAAAGCTTCTGATAACAGCATTAGACAAAGAGTTTCAGGAAAAATGCAAGATTTTTGTAAAATCGATCCAGATGGGTTTACTGTTAACGTAAAAGTCATAAGTAGCTCATTCAATGAATATGGAGAACAATATTTTATATCGATGGATTATAATTTTGTCA